AGCTAGCTGATTTAGGCTTCCTATACAGTCAATGTGTACTGACTAACAGTTCCCAAAGGTGATTCATTTAAATTCCCTTGATAGCATTTGAAAAGAGGAATGAATGCTCCTTTGATTGTCTTCCTCTTTATTTACTGACTATAGAAATAATTACATAATTAGTTTAGCCTAGATCCCTAAGTTTCATATAGTTAAAGACAGCTGGAATAAACACTGGTCTGCTGCCATTTCTACCGCTCAGTAGTCTATCAGTAGATGGTATATTCAGTTGTACTTCCTAAAATGTTCTTAAAACTTTTATAATATGAAAAGCCTATCTGAAAGTCTTAACTGTGTTAAAATGCAGTGTGGAAAAAACCCCAGAACATCAAAACACAAAACCCCACAATCAACAGAAAAAATGCTAAAATCCTAGAAGATGCGTGAACAAAACCCAACTAAGCAGAAATGTGTTCAATATCCCAGTGCACAAAGTAAAAAGAGTTACTCAATAATTGCAGGAGGAAACGCACATGTGGGCACACAATACTATCAGGCTTCAAAAAGCTGTGCTTGTGCCAGGCAGGACACCGCATGGTAAGAGGTGGTGGTCTGAGCCATGATGTCTATAGAGTTTCAGAAGAAGCACTACTAATGCATGACTGAAAACTTACTTAGAAGCAAGCTGTGTGAGAACACACAATTTTTAACTGGAGCTCTAGGGGCTACGAATGACAACACATCTTCATCAAGCACAGAGACAATCTGGGATAAGAAACTATTCACAGTATTGTTGATGATCAATATTTTTGAAATGTAAATATTTCACAACCAAATTCTATGACTGGCTCTTGTATGTGTGGATGAGGGAAATGGGACTAACTGTAGCTGCAAGTGCAGTCAAGCAAGCACACTGTAACTCAGTGATTTGTATATTAGAAATGTGTGACTCAAGCACGTACCTGTAGTAAATTAGAGTAAAATGTCTGAATTCCCTGCAACTGGAAAATCAAGCAGATATTTGGCTTCTTCCATTCTAAGTTTCCAGTTGTTAATTTTATATAAATTCTTAATGACAAGAATAAGCAAGGGGAGAAAAGCCACAAAATTCTGGCTTTATTAGTTGTCAATCTGATGAAAGTAGATATGATATTGAGAAGGACTTATGTACTAGAACCTTCTTAGAAATCTTTGCAGGCAAAGTTTTTTGGCATAGAATTTTGGAGATAGACAATTCAAGAAGAGATTTGAGATGACAAGGGAGATGCTGTGATTGCTTCCTGCTCTTCTGATGACTTCCAGAGCATGAAACCAAAACTCATAGTGCAGCTATAGTTTCAGATACTATCAGCTCACAGTACGACACAGGATCTTGTTCAGCTTGTGTGTAGCTGGTTTTAAATTTGAGTTTCAGAGGAAAGATAGAAGAGTTTCCACTACTTTTACACCATATAAGGTTTGAGCTCTAATGACCATTGAAATTCTCATATGAAACCACCATTTTCTGTGTCACTTTGTAATACGTCTGGACTGTAGTTAGACATCAGCCTAGGCTTCCAATATTCTTTTGACCTCTGATTGTACAAATCCTGTAACGCCAATATGATATACTCTTGTAACATAAATAAATGAAATTATATCTTTCTGGGATTCCCTTTAACTATGTTAATACATTATTACAAAGTGCTACTTGAAAAGTTAGACAGTTTGGTGCCTAAAGGCAGTATATTCCAGCAAGTTTCTGTGAAGTATACAGCCTAGTTATTTTTCATTAGCATATCTACAAAACCAAAGATGATTAGAAATAAATTCCAGGTTATACATTATCTGCATTTTAGTGGCTTTTTTTTGCCCGTGAATATTTTAGGTTCTGTAGCTCAGTAGCACATAGTGCTTTTTTATACTTGTTTCTGTTAAAATACATGAAAACGTAGTTTGTGTTTCTATACTGGCTTACAGTGTGAAATGACTTATAAAGTTCAGAAATGTAAATTATTTAAATAGATCCTTCCATTTTGTTTTGATTCAATGCCTGTTTTCACACTCAATTTTTTTCGTTATGGGAGAGAGTCCAAGTACTGAACACGTATCAACAGGCGTAACAGTGAGACTCATTGGTAAAATATGATTCAATTCATCATGATAAGTTATTCTTTAAATGCCATTGTGCATTTTTATTGCCTAGTTACGCAGCAAAATGAATGTGTCATTGGTTATGGATATACATATATCCCTGCATGTTTTAGCTAGTATGTCAGGAAGGAAAATACTGCTTCTCAGAATCTGTGATTTTTCACTTAGGAAAAAAACATAAACTCAGATTGTCTAGTTGCAACTATTTAAAGGAACTTTCAGCAGTAGTGCTTTGTAAACCAAAGGAAAAATGATTCAGACAATGCTCACAGGATGAATATAATGCAACCTTGTATGCTGTACTGGGTCTGGCTGAGCTGGAATTGGCTTTCCCCTATAGCAGCCCTCACGGTGCTGTGGTTTATGCTGGGAGCTGGCAGGGTGTTGGTAGCACCCTGGTGGTGTGGCTGCTGCTGAGCAGGGCTTACACAGCACCAAGGATCTTACACATTTCCCCCCTCAGTGGGATGGTGTGGGCAAGATCTTGGGAGGGGACACAGCCAGGACAGCTGACCCGAACTGACCAAAGGGATATTCCAGACCATGTGACGTCTGCTCAGTACAAAGCTGGGAGAAAGGAGGACGGGGGTGGGGTCACCCTTGGTCCTCCGAGGCAACCACTACGCGTATGGGAGCCCTGCTCCTGAGAAGGGCCGACATCGCTTCTTCATGGGAAGGAGAGAATAAATCTGTTTTCTTTTTTGCTTCTGCGCGGGGACATTTGCTTCGCCTTGCTTATATTAAAACTGCTTTTGTTTTACCCACAAGGGTTGGGGTTTTTTTCCTATCTTATTTTCTTTTCCCTCTTTGCCCTGTTGACAAAAAATTGGAAAGGTGGGGACAAAGTGATAGAGCGACTTGATGGGTACCAGGCATTTAGCCAAGGTCAAACCACCACATATGCATGTCCAATTATGTGTAATAAATTAAACCTGTTCTACTCAGGTTGATCATATGTAAGACCATAGAGTTGTATATAAACTGTGGAGGGATCATGGACACTATAGAGCTGTATAAAATATTTAAAGGGCCAGATTTAATTATTTTCAGGGCTTTTGCCTTCCTAACCTGACGCCTGGCTGCTCAGAAAATTTCTCCATATTCCTCTCAGCCTATCTGTCCTTGCTTCTACCCTCTGTAGGCTTCCTTTTTATGTTTGAACTTGTCCAGGAACTCCTTGTTCATCCATACAGGCCTCCTGACATTCTTACCTGACTTCCTCTTTGCTGGGATGCATTGTTCCCACATCTAGAGGATGTGATCCTTGAATATTAACTATTCCACCTGGGCCCCTCTTCCCTCCAGGGCTTTATCCCATTCTACTCTCTATGCAGCAGATCCCTGAGGAGGCCAAAATCTGCTCTCCTGAAATCCAGGGTATGATTCCCTCCTCACTGCCCTAAGGGTCTTGAACTCCACCATTTCGTGGTCACTGCAGACAAGGCTGCCCTTGGGTTTGACTTTCCCCACCAAACCCTCCTTGTATCTGAGAACAAGGTCCAGCATATCACCTCTCCTCACTGGCTCCTCTATCACTTGGAGAAGGAAGTTATCATCAGTGCATTTCAGGAACCTCCTGAGTTGCCTATGCCCTGTTGTAATATTATCTTATGCCTCTGTAATATTATCTTATTCCATTGTGTATAGTAGTATCCTGCATATTATTAGGATAATAAAGAGATTTTATGATAGAAATGAAATGTCTGCTCAGGCAGATGTTCCCACCTAGAGATGTCCAAGATCTTTCTGAGGCCTAATCAGTTCACTTTCTGTCAATTTTCAATATTTATTCTGTACTGGCATAATCATATTTTAATGCATTTTATGTTATTGTTCCACACAAATTTCCTATACTCTTTATTGCATTATTCTTTATTTGCTCATTCTATGGAGTAATTAAATTAATACATAAAATTATTGCCTCTATTGACAAAAAAACCTCTTAATCTTTTTACATCGGTTTCTTTGATTCTCATGATTTCATAGCTAATGTTTGGAGATCAGTGCATCACATCAGTAAGTACATTTTCCGGGATGTTATTTGCAAGCTGCTTTTGAACAGGCAGCACTACAGCCCCTTTGCTGGTGTGTTAGCAGTGATATTTGCATTACATCTGAATAAAACCATGATATTAATTTGTAAAAGACCTTTTCCTGATGCAGAAAACAGTCAGAACACTAGCTATATGCTATATGGCACAGGGGATGGAACTAGATGGTCTTTAAGGTCCCCTCCAACCCAAAATATTCTATGATTCTATAGTTCTATGCTAATACTTTTCCAAATAGCTCATTATGTTAAAACTATGTTAGTTACTTTTTAAAATTTTAGGAAAAAACGCTATTCATTCTGAAATATTCCATCGAAAGCAGTATAGTTAAAATTCATATTCCTAAAGTATTTGCTGACAAGGTGTTTTAGTTAGAGCAGCAACAAGCTATTCAACTGTATTTGAATATTTGAATATAGCTCTAGTTTAATTCACACTTCAAATAAACCCACAACAGCAGTCTGTGAAATTAAATATGGGACACCTATGTTTTTGCTTAGTATCAGCTTGTATTTTAACATTTTACACTGCTGAATATAAATATCCAAAGGAAAGGTGTAAACTAATCTGGAAGGAAGGGGCTGATTCATGACAAGACAGTTCCAACTTTAAGCAGGTGTGGAAGCAACAAATAAATTGCTTCCTAGCTATTGCTGTGAAAATAATTTGCAATGAATAATTTATCTAACACATTTAGCTTATTTTTAGATTCTTTTTTTTTTTTGTTTGTTTGGAGAAGAGACATAATAAATTATGAATTCAGCTATTTTAAATACTTGTAATGACTTTTATTTCCAGTCTTTGACTTGATTAAAATTGTTCCCTGGAAATACTTACCATTTTTTCATGTTTGTTGTAAGTTCTCAGACATGTCATAAAGTGTTTTTTTGTCGTTGATAGGCATCAAAACATTTCTTGCTTCAGTTTGAATTCTAAAATCCATATTTTGCATAGTGCTGGATCTGTTAAATTTAGTCAAAAGAATATTCATATAAAACAACATGGAAAAGTGTAAGTCTAACTGAGCAAATATATATAAAAAGTGGAGTTGTATGAACATTTGCAGCAATCTTCATACAGTTCTTATCAGTCCTGAATACATTGTTAATTCAGAAAACAGAACTTGGAAATAGGATTTCAAAAAATAGGTTTGGGAAAAGTTTTGTTCCATATTGCAAGATGAGGCTTTTGGGAAAAGTCTTCTTTCATATTGCAAGATGAGGCTTTTGTTTGAATCTTCCTGTACTGTGTTTTTCAGCATTACAGTTTCAACCTTTCATTGCTGAAAGTGAATACTTTTTAAAAATTTTTTTATTGTTTTGTAATTCTAAAAGTGCAACCCAATGGATAACATTGTTCTCAAAAGAGAAGCTGGAGGGGACTCTGATTTCAGCTGCTTCTTACTGACACCAAACTAAAACCATATTTTCTCTTGCTGAGAACTGGAAGGCAGGTGTCCCACTGTGACCCATAATTTTGTTAATTATGATCTCCACGTTAAAGCTGACCACTGTTTTTTAGCCAGATTTCTAAATAGCCTAAACAATTTATTTGAATGGAAAAAATATGCATTGAAAATTGCACGTTGGTAAACCCCTCAATACTGAGACTCTCAGAAGTAGGTCAGTGTTGTTTCCCAATAGGACTCCCTCTCTTCAGAAGTTCATTTGTAGGTTTTCCCAAGGTTTGTATGAGGGTAAGAAAAAAATATGTGAAGACACATACCCAAGGTAATGATTAATTAATATAGCAGAGATCTTGATAAAAGATCAGGTCAACTAGCAGACCATTTAGGCTGACTTTTGGCATTTAGTCTCTGCCATGTAGTTGATTACTATTACAACTTACATTACTATATTTGCTTAAGGGGATACAAGAGAAAAAAAGAAATTGTCTATAGTGTTCTTTGCTCCAGAAGACTACATTTATCAAACAGTTTCCACTTTTTTGTTACTTTATAAAACAGACAATTATTTCTCAGGTTTTTCACCTGACCTGTCTATTCTGCAGGCTTATTAAACTTCACAAAATCATATATTGGCTCGTAAGCCTTCTATTTGTACTGTACTTTGTTTATAAATGGATCCATTTTTATAGAATACAATGACAAAAGTTACTATCTAAGAAATGCAGATTAACAAATGGGAACATTATGTCAAGTGAAGAGAAAATCTGTAGGTGATATGTGAGCTCAGTTTTCAGTTTCATGAAGTTCTATTGTATATATAAGGAACAATTATGTCCCTCTATAAAAAGAGTTCTACATGTCTAAAATGAATCACCTCTGAGGTTGAATGAAAAGCAGAACATCTTTATGAGAGTACATGATTTTAGCCAAGAAAAATGAGTCACGTGAGTTATTTGTCTATCATATTAAAAGTGATATTTTAATTCAGAATTAATTCAGAATTATAATAAGCTTTACCCTGCTCTGTCATCTGACAGTGTAGCTCAAAATTTTGATAGCTGTGAATCAGGGTCTTGATCTTATTATTTCACAGGCAAGATCTAGAGCACAAAGCAGAAGATTAAAAATAAAAGAAGGAAAAGCATAAAATAGGTTGAAGATGGAGAGAAGCAGAAAATGTACTTTGATTAACTGAAAGGTTAATTACTGAAAGACTTCCTCCATGCAGCATACTGGTAATTAGAAAGTGTGAATGAAGTGTGATTTCATTTAACACTTTGCAAAAAGCCAAACATGACAGTAAACTGCTTGATTCTTCTTGTGTTTGTGAAACATATAACTTGGTATTTCATTTTACTCGAGAGTAAAAGAAAGCTCCTTTTCCTTTTTGTTTTTAATAGACAAAAAATAAGGTAAAAAAAAGTGAGAGATTGGCTGGGATGAGACCAATTAGACACCATGGCCTAGTGCTCTCATCCACCACTGCCACCTTAGCTCTGATCAGTGAGGCTCACTGGGCATAGGACAGAACTGTGCTGTGCAGTAGGATTTCTGGTCACCTCAAGAGAAATCTTATGGTGTCTTTTACACAGTATCAAGTGTCATTGAAACTTACATTTTTTTTCCAACATTTTGAGAAAAGTGTTGTTATAAGAATGGAAAGCAGAATGTTAAAAATGTTTCACAAGACTGGGATTTCCAGTAGAGCGCCAGGATGTCCTGCTGATGTCCCACCAGAAACCCCTCACTCCTTCTGACTCCTGGAAATAGTCTCAGCAAGCCAGCATCAGCACATGCGGGAAACTACTGACAAAAAGAAAAATGTATGGGGCCCAGAAACCATGTCAACTTTGGAACCTCCTGGGTGTACCTCAGGGACTGGAGGACTGTCAAATTGCTGATTTCCAAGGAGCTATAGAAATGAATAGAAAGGAGACAATATTGGAAAATGAATTTGAGGGAGTCTGGGACAAGAAGATCATGAGATTCAAGTCCTCCTTTTTGGTAGAAGTATAAATTTAACAAGGAGTTTTGATGGGAAATGTTTTTTATAGGATAATAAAGAAGACAGACTAGAGTTACCAATGTAGTATCAGGTCTGGACAAGGCATAAACCCCAGAATAAACTCCTGTGTCACCACATTCCACACTTTGAGCCATGAAGGCAGTATCCTGAAGCCAGCCGACAGTAACTTCAACAGAAACAGCAGTGCTTTGAACTGTTAGGAAAGAATTGATCCTGTGGTTTTAGTCATCTAAGCATTAGTCCTGTAACCTAAGCTACTTACATAGGTAGTCATTATAAAGTAATGAAACCCAAGCTAATATAGCTATTTAAGAATGATACTTTGACCAGGCAAACTGTTTTTCTCCATTCATTCCACTTTTGCAACACTAAAGTTCAGTGAGATGACTCATGTCTTTTGACACTCTGTAGCTTTTGAGGGGTCTAGACAAGCAGAACCATTTTCTCCAAATTTTATTTTAAGCAGGTTGATAAAATCCCATCACAGTAGTAAAGAACAGAACATGGAAATAACAAATGCGTGGCATGCAGCATGCTTCAAATATGCGAGGAAATTTTAAACTCCTCCTAGTGCTATACAATTAATTTATCAAGGATGTAAAAATCCACATTGTCACAGAAAACAGAGACAATTTATTGACCTTCATGGACTTTTAGCATGATCTGATCATATGTAATTCCTTTTATTCTGATTGCAGTCAGGATACCCATTCCTATGCATGTTGCTATCTTCATTAAGGCACAGGTTAACATTAATTTGAAAACAATGGCTGCCTCTGCAACCCAAGAGTTGCTTCTAATTCACTAACACAAGTTAACAGCAGCTAACTAACAGACATAAATCAAAAAGTTTGAGGTAGTCCAACAAGGAAGATAAAAGAAAATATCGCTCAACCAAAGAAAAGGTTCACTCAGTCGTCCCCCAGGGACAGAACCTTTGATTCAATTTAGTTTAACATAAGCAAGCCCCAAACACATGGGAGAAAAAAAAAAAAAAAAGTATTGGAAAGGAAGAGGGCATGATCACTTCCCATTCCCCTTCAATCCCCAAATAACAGGGACTAATCAAAAACTAGAAAGTCTTTTAACACCTTTCCAGCAGCACCCATTGTAACCATCATGGATACTAGCCGGTTAAATATCTTCTCCCTGTCATGGCAGAAGATTACAAATAAAGCTATCATTTTCTTTCTCCATTCTTCTATCCATTATTCTAGCTCCATGTGAAGAACAGAATTCTACAGAATAGTGTGACAGCAGGAAAATTAAAAGGAAATGGCATACCGGTAAACAGCTCTGCTTTTGAACAACAAAACTGTGCTGCAAAATTTATAAAGCTGTTAAATAAACTTGGATCATTAAATAAAAAATTCAGGCCCTTTATCTGGTATGAAAAAATATATATTTTAATCTGAACAGACAGAATATTTTTTACAGCATAGCATTTCTGATGGAGATCACACAAAAGAAATAGGTTAGATTGAGAATGCATTGCCAACAAGATAAACCTACAGTCACAGACACATCTAATTCTCCAAGCTTTCACCATTAATATTTTATGCCCCTCACTGTTCCCCCCAGTCTCAAAGAAAAATGTATCTTTCATTTAAGCAGGCAGGTCACAGTAATAGAATTCATCTGTATCAAAAAGGAGGTAAGATGCAAACTACAATAGAGATGTCACAGCAAAGTATTGAGTTTGCTCACTATTACCTGAAACACTGATCCCTGCATGGAGTGTTTTATTTGAACAGCAGAAATAGCACTAGCATACACAAGTATGATGGCATTCTCATTAAAAGAAAAAATGATGAATGCTATTTGTAGGAGGTTTTTTTAATCTCTACCTAAACACTTTATTTTATATAGTCATTCCATAAAGTAACATCAATTTCCTTTGCTGCAGATTTCTGTAGATGTGGCTATTATTTCAAGTTTAACCTATCAACATTTTTGATTTATCAGCATTAGAGAGAATATAAAAAGGAAATAATTATTTTTCTGCATTCACTGATGAATCTCAGTAATGCATCAAGGAACATTCGCTAGGGTAAAGACACTTGAGAAGACCATGCAGTTTAAAATAGTTTTGTTGGTAAATCTGCATAAGAACAGAAGCACTGTGCTGTGCTCTGTAGTAATTCTATCAGTTACGCTGAGGTACAGTGGGAATAATGTATTTGCCTATGGCAAAGAGGAAGCAATGAATTTATGTAGAAAAAAATATATCAGTTATAAGTCTATTAGCACATGACCACTGATCACCTTTTGATGGTAATATAGTGATATATAAGATTTAAATACTGCTTGAAAAATCTCTAGATCACGTTCCTTGTTTGTCCTGCCTAGGCTGTGCTGTTTCGTTCAGGTCACAAGGACATATCTATGTAATTTGCAGACAGCCCTGAGTGAGCAGCGGTGCAACTCCTTATCAGACCAAAATAAGCCATGAAAATAGACAGACTGAAGTTTGTGATATACCTCTCTCTAATCTA